CAGCATTGCAATTGGAGATGAAGGTGGTATTCCACCTCTACTTGCTCTTGCACAGTCGGAAGTTGGGGTAAAACATATTCGTTTCCTTATAAGTTCTCATGTCGCGGTCGGTCTTTTTGAATTTTATCTGATCCAGCTTCTCCTTTATTTTTTCCAGGATGTACAAGAAACTGCTGCAGGAGCTCTTTGGAATCTTTCTTTTCATCCAAGTAATGCTCTCCGGATCGTGGAGGAAGGAGGAGTTATGGCACTTGCTGACATCTGTTCGTCTTCTCAGTCCAAATTGGCTCGTTTCATTTCAGTATTAGCATTGGCTTACATATTTGATGGAAGGTAATCAAAGCTTTATACACATTCAAGATCATTTTGTTTAATTTGTCTCAAAACAAAGAGATTTTAAATGTTACATCATCTGAGTTTTGATCTCATCTATACATCTAACACAGGATGGATGAAATGATAAAGACTACATCGGAAAGTACATCGAAAAGTTTTATCGCGGATTGTAAAAGCAAGGCTTTTAGATCCATTGAAGCTTTTATTAGGACTTTTATGGAACCTGTAATCTTTGCACCTGCTGCTTTATCATTTGCACCACCTATGTTAGCAAAATATTCAGCGAAAGTTCGAATCCATGAAGCTGGTCACTTGAAATGCACTGCTGCCGAAATTGGAAGATTTGTTACAATGCTGCGGAACCAGTGTGGTACACTCAGATCATGTGCAGCTTTTGCACTTCTGCAGGTAAACTTATGATTTGAATTTTGCATTTTAAAAAGTTGCATCTTAATACTAAAACCGATGAAAAATGCAGTTTACATTACCTAAAGGTCGTCATGTGAGGCATCACACAAGCTTGATGCAAAACGCTGGAGGTGCTAGAGTCTTACGTTCTACAGCTGCAGCTTATAACCTGTCTCGTGAAGCTAAGATATATCTGAAGATTGTGCTTAACAATCTCGAGGTAAAATCTTCGAAAGAGACAGAATGTATCTTCTGATATGAGTTGACCCTTTTTCTTAGCATTCATAGTGATAAGAGTATCTTTGTATCTTGCAGAACCATACAAGTGAAGCCAAAGCAGAGAATCAAGCTCATGCTGCATAAGTCTCCAAGACTTCTTCTGACTTGCAAGGAGTTTGATTCGGAGTAAAGAAGCAAGGTGTTGTAATATATGTCTGATAAAATGTTTCTTTGTTTTTTTCTGTGAATTTCTGTAATACCAGACCTTAGGGATCATTTGGTGTTCTTCTTCCTTTTTTAGGTTGTCCATTTTTTGTAACATAATTGACATTAAATCTTTTGAGAAAGATTATGCAATGCAATCCATTAAATCTCTTGTTTTATCTTCAAGTTACAAACTTATCCATTGTGTTTAGTAAGAATACAAACAACAACAGAGAACATCAGATTCAGACATCATGATGCAGTACAAGCTGAAGCTGATCCACATCCGGACCAATCAGGTCCATAACGAAGTTCCCTACACTTGGAAGCCACTGGTGTGAGGAAGAAGACTCGGAAACTGCCATTGTTATGGATGATGATGATGATGCTTTGTCGGAGAGGTATGGCACTATATGCTTCTTCATGTCTGTATGAGATATCTGAAGATGATTTCCAGTGACGTTTACGAATTTGACCTTTCCAGCTTCGTCTAAGGTTCTCAAACCAATCCAGTCCTCAATATAGAGCTTGGTCTACAAAAGGAAAATAATCGAAACACGTATCATAACGCGATGCATCTGCAAAGTTGCCATTTGAAACAATGATTAAGGGATTTATTACCTTTTGCGGCGGAAGAATGGTCTTAAAAGACCCATCAGGATAATATCCAAACCATGAGGTCTCTTTAGGTATCAGTATCGTATCGTGTTCAAACTAAATTTGATAAAAAAGATAAAAAGTTACCATCAAAAGAAACTTATAAATTAATATCAGTGAAGCGGGTTTTTGATGGCTGACCATAATAAGCACAAGATTCTCCAAGCTTGAGAACCTTTCTTTATAAGTCGAGTTTTTAACTGGAAGTTCATTGTTTAGCTTTGGGAGAAACCTACAACCTTCCATGTAACCCGCAATGTCCTACGAAAGCATTCGGTTACAACAAAAATGGGAAGTCTAATTCGAAACATTTAAACCTCTGAAGACAACTTACAGTCGGAATCTTGAGAAAACCGCTAGGAGCCAAATGTTCCTGAAACTCAATCAGATGTACTAAGTTTCACATCCGTAACAGAGAATTATGTAGGAGCGATAAAATACTCCCGAACATAGTACCTGCATATAGTCGCTATAGATCTCTGCTTTGATCATACTGTCCAACATGATGCATATCCAGGTAGCCTGCAAAACCAAGAAAATATTACAAAAAAGCCGCATGTCAATGGCGGTGTTTATTATAGAAGAAACCAACACTTTGGAGGGAGTTAGTTACTTACGCCACAGAAAGGAATCGATGCAGTGCCAGCATGAGGACCCGCTACGGATACAAAATTCTTAACCTATTAACCACAATTATCATTAGAGAAAAAGATAAAATTCAAATAGCATGGCATATCCATGTTTATAGGTACTTACAGGCGGTGCTCCATCGCAAAATTCAATGAGAGCTCGACCAATCATGTTACCCTGAGAAAGCCCCACAATGCTATAACCGTCACTAAGCTCAGGCATACTCTTCACCTGTAGTATTAAACATACATAATGAAATGGATTCTCAAAAGCCAAGAATTAGCAAAAACTTGATGATGCAAGTTTATCTGACCTTCTCACAAACAACCGATGTCTGCAAAAACACGAAAGAAAAGACCGAAAAAATCAGATTTTTTTTCCATCATATACACATACAAGTTTCATTCTTCCAACATGTGACCTTACCTGATCAAGAAGAGGCATGGTCCATGAGTCCCATGAGCCATTCCCAATTTCCCTGAATTTACAAAAGAAACACAATAATGGACTAATACAAAACTTGGAGCCATATTTTGAATATGTTTGTGGTTTAATCAAAGAAGACATAGACATACAAGCAATATCCTTGAGAACCAGACCAATCACTTAAAAGCTCTGTGAAATGTTTCACTCCTGAATTACTGCATTTATCTCCAATCCCTGAGAAAACACACAAAAAACACAATCTTTTCAACTCTTTCCAGAGATTTAGGAATTCAAAAACCCTAAAGACACTTACAAAGTAAACAATCTTCAGTACTAAAAAAGAGCAGATATGAAAACAAATGAATGATCATTTAACAACTGCTGT